CCCCCCTTTGTACTGGGAATCAAACTTAGGACCTTGCACTTGCCAGGCAGGCACTGTGCTGGTGGATAACCTTTTTTAAAAAATAGGTAATACCTTCATAGAAATTAAGAAAACATTTTTATGTGTTTCTACTTGTGAAGCAGCTACATATTATGAAGTTCAGTTTAGGGCAGTGTTGTTATTTATGCACATTCTCATTAAATAGCTGTTAAATTTTCTATCTAATAAGGATATTATTACAGGCACAGATTTGTATTTCCATTTTATCAGTATGTGACAAACATCAAGCAGAAAGATGTCTGATGGCAAGTAGTGTCTGTAGTTATCCTAATTCTTATATAATGACAGATCTTTTAAAAAGTAGATGATTATATATGTAACATACATAGAAAGAAAACAGAAGAAAATAGAAAAGTGGAGTAAGAAGGTAAAGAATCAGAAAAGTCACTGAAAAGAAAAAACTTAACCATTTTTTAGTGAAGGTAGGTTTTAAGTTGTTCAAACTAATCTTTAAAAATTTATCTCAGGCCTCTATCCCTAGTGTGGTTGTTATTTTGTTCATTTAGGATTTTTTTTTATGCTTTATGTATTTGTGTTGCATTGTTACATTTTGTCTTTTTTGATAGGCTGTCAGATGTACACTGTTAAATGGACTTGGGATTCTAGCATTCATCATTCTTCATTACTTCCTTTAGGCAATTGAGAATTTTGAAACAGAAACTCAGAGAACAAGAAAAAACTCCAGAGGCATATGGTAATATGGAATGCAACCCTGAATGTAGGTAAAAGAACTTAAAGGATTAATATCAAACTGCTTTGGCCCTGGAGGTCTTGGGAAAGAATTGAGCTTCGTAATTATTTTGTCTAAGTAAATTTTTCCTTCTGTCTTCTTTTTTTTTTTCTTTTGGACCCAGTGAGTTGGCAAATGTTAGGCCAGCACTCCATCACTGAGCTACAGTACTAGGCCAGTTTTCTTTATTTCTTAAATACACTTTAAAAAAAAATAGGAGTAATACTTCTTATTAAAATTTAAAATAATGTAGAAAAATAGCTCAGTGATATAACTTACCAAAAATACACCTTTATTAAAGGTTTATATTGGGCCAGCTTGGGATGGCCAAATAGCTCAGCAGATTAAAACACCTGCAAGCAGGCGCAGTGGCCGGGGTGGGGGAGGTGGGTATTCAATCCCCAAGTCTGCTGTGCAGGCTCTGCCCCCAGGGCATGCTGAGACAGCAATTGAGACTGGGTGTGGTGGCACATGCCTGTAATACCAGCACTTGGGAGACTGTGAGGCTGTAAACAGGAGAATCACTATGAGTCTGATCTAGTAGTGCGTCCCTGAACACCCTGTAGACCCTTCCCTAAAATACAAAATAAATAAATAAAATATATTGAACCAGCCACAATAGAACTATATATGTCTTTGTTTTTTTTTGAGTGTGATTACATTGTGTATATTCTTCCAAAGCTCTAAAGTATAGTGGACATTTTTCTCTATCAAAATACATAAATATGCTTTTTTCACTTTAATAACTACTTGAGTATTCAGTTTATGTGATTCTACTATAAAATATTTAAGATATCTGTGTTTTCTCCCAGCACATATAGTGACACAGGGAAAAATCCTTGTGTAAATGTCTTTGTGAATGTTTGTAAGCATTTTTGCAGAGTAGATTTTAGCAGTAGAATTGATGAAGCAAAAAGTATATGCAGTTGCAATTTTGAAGGTCCTTATGTTTGTTTTGTTTTGACCCTGTATTATCCAGCCTCACCTCTTAACTCCTGGAGTCACACAGGCTTTGGCTTCTCCACAACTGGAACTATAGACCTGAGCCTCCAGATTTTCCTCATGGGTCACAGAGCTTAACAAAGGAAAAAAATGGTTATTAGAAGAGATGTCCTACTCACTTTCTTGTCAGTAAGCACAATAGCCAAGCCTCACACTTTAAAGGAGATGGGGTTTATTAGATCCACGGTTATCCAAGGCAGAAGTGACATACAGAAGGCTGGTCACATTATGGCAGCCAGGAAGCAGAATGTGAAGGGACAAGCCAGAGAAGGTGATGCACCCTCCAGCTCCTGTGCCTAGGGACTGACTCATCCAGACAGACCCCATCCCACAACAAGGCAGCCATGTAGCCCCCCCAGAGTTTAGTCACCTTTCCATGGCTCTGCCTGTGAGCACGAGACCTTGGGGGCATATTTGTGATCCAGCCCATAACAAATGAGGACCTTTCCTTTAATATTCTTGGGAGATTTTTCTGAATCAAATGTAAACACACATGTCACAAAGAAACAGCTTTATAGGAGGTTGCGGAGATGGCTCAGTAGAATAAGCACTTGCCTGGCAAGCGCGAGGGCCTGAGTTCAATCCCTGGTCCTGCCCCCCCCCCAAAAAAAAAAACAGCTTTATAAAATGTTTCTCCAGAATTTTTTTTTCCAACTTGTGAACTGTAATATACATTCAAAAAACACAAAGAAAGTGGAAGAAGTTTGCAATATATGACGTAACAGAGGCTTAATTTTGTAATACATAAGTATCTTTCACAGAGCAATAAGAAAAAAGCCTTTTATGAAAGTGCTTAGCTTCATCACTCTGGTTCTATTATAAACAAAAGATAGGAGTTATATGAGGATGACAAAAGAAAGTCAAGGGAAATAGGGAGACCAGTGGCTGCCACTCTTAAGTAGCTTCTCTCTTTTATTCTTTACCTATTTCCCTTTTTAAAGAGGATTTATTACTATTTATAATTACTTGTTTGTTACCAGTTCCATGAGAACAACAACCATGTCTATGTTGTTCACTGATATACCCAGATTCTAGTAGTATCCCTTAAACAAAGTAAGCAGTCTTTTTAAGGCTGTATTTGCTAAATGAAATTGTGCTATGTACTTTTATAGCCATGTAAAAGAATTGATAAATCTGTGCTGATACACAATAGTCTTGTGGGAAAAGAAAAAGTTAGAAGCTGTGACTACAGGGTTGGCCAGATTAGGCAGATGCAGAGGCCAGGAGCTAGATCCCTTGGCCTGCTGTGCTGGCCCTGCCCTCGGGGCGTGCAGATGAAGGTGGTGGTTCACGCCTGTAAGCCCAGCACTTGGGAGGCTGAAAAACAGCAGAGTCACAAGTCAGATCTGTGTAATGAGACCCTGTAGACCCTGTCCTAAATACATTTAAAAAAAAATCATTTGGTATCACTGATAATTTGTATTTTTAATTGGTACTTGAATGTTTTACTTGTATATTTATTCTTCTATTCTAAAAAGTTAAAAATAACTTGGGCCAGGGAGATGGCTCAGTAGAATAAGTGCTTCCCTGGCAAGAGCAAGGGCCTGAGTTCAATTCCTGCTTCCACCAACAAACAAAAAATAAAATAACTTAATGCCCAGTTGTCAACGAGAGAAGAAAAGCATGAGTTCTGCGAATCAGTTCATGCATATAATTATTAGGCAGGGTTAAAAAATTTTAGACCTTTCTTCTCTACAAATAGATTTTTTTTTAAATTGGAAAACAACTGTTTTATCTTTTTGTCTTGCAGTGTTCTCCCTTCAGTCATTGAATATGTCCCTGCAAAATCAATTGCAAGAGTCACTGAAGAGCCAGGAATTACTACAGAATAAAAATGAAGAACTGTTAAAAGTCATTGAAAATCAAAAAGATGAAAACAAAAAATTTACTAATATATTTAAAGACAAAGATCAAACTCTTCTTGAAAGTAAACAGCAGTTTGACATTGAGATAACAAGAGTAAAACTTGGTATGTATTTGGACTATCATTACAGTCATATTTTTTTAAAAAAGAAATGAAAAACTGAGGCTTTTTGTTGTTTTAGAATTGGAGGAAGCCTTGGTCAATGTGAAAGACACGCAGTTTAAGTTAGAAACTGCTGAAAAGGAAAATCAAATATTGGGGATAACACTACGTCAGCGTGATGCTGAGGTGGCTCGCCTGAGAGAATTAACCAGGTAAAATTGATTTTTTTTATAAATTATTTTTTCTAATAAAGGTTGGGTTCAGCCTTGGGTTGAGGTCTTTGTTCTGGTTAGCCATTGTTCTAGCTGGATTTCGGACCTCTTTGGCTCCACACAGCTATACGCAGGCCTTAGTGTGCTTATTCTTGCCATGCATTACATTGGAAAAGGTAGATTGGAATTAATTTATTAGAATTCTAGGGAAGCACTTATTCCACTGAGCCAACTCCCCGGCCCTTAGAATTCCAGTAACTTTTCCGTGGGATTACAGATACGGATTTTTCTGGACCATGATGAGGTCTAGAAAGGCTTTCTGTAATTTAGCTCCTTAGTAGTTTTCTTTTTCTCTGTTAGTCTTTTGGTTGTTCATATTGTTGCATCTAGCTTTTTTAGGTATATGAAATCAAAAGCTAACAGTCATTTATTTGTAAAATATTTTGATATCTTTTCAGACCCTATACCAAATACATTTTTTTAAAAAATAGTCTTTCCCAGTGTTTATTAAAGTCAAAGAAGGGTTTACTTGTATTTGTAACATTCTTTCTTTATTTATTTTAAGGAGTAAAAACAAAAGCAAAAACAAATAGGAGATATAAAGACAGAAACAGGGTAACATACAATAGATATGTTACAGATTTTCAAAACAAAAATAACAAATTAGCTATATATATATATTACATATATATTATACATTTCAGATTTCATTTATTCGTTCAGGTTTTTACACTAGGGAGACAATAGGATATTTATACATATGGGTCTGATTTCTTTTGCTTACGAGTATAGCCTCTAGTTGCATCCATTAACCTATAAAGGCTTCACTGCTAGTATTTTGTTGAGGATTTTTACATCTGTGTTCACCAGGGATATTGGCCTGTATTTATGTTTTTTTAAATTTTATTTTTCCATAATTTTATTGACAAATAGCATTGAGACAGTTTCAAATCAAATTGGTAAGACAGTTCCAATAATTAACACATTGCATACTGTCTTCCTAATGGTTATTTGCTATACAAGATGCAGACATGATATCCTATTTACAAACACTATTAGAACAAATCCCTCTATTCATTAAGAGAATACAACTATATATCTATCCTAACCATTTTGAATACACAGATACAAAAGGGACATTCATTTATATATCCTCTTTTTTGTTTGGTTCCTTCATTTGAATATTACAGGTGTATTAACTCATCAAAAATATTCTTAAAAAGTCCAGTAATCCATAATAGTACTAGGTCCTCTGCTTGACTGGCAGTGTCAGAAATTGTTGACCTGAATCCCCTACAGCTCAGTATAACACCATGGCTATAGTTCTTATCCTTCATTTTTATACTATCCTGCTGGATGGTTAAGACCAAGATAAAGCAAGACCTATGCAACAAGAGTTGTAACTTTTGGATCTGATAAGGTCAGTGAAATCCCCTCAGGATTTATCCTGAGATCCTTGTACCTCAGATTGTAGATCCTTTGTCAGTGTTAGCCATGTGGATGAGTCATGGCCATTGCTTGGCCAATGTTGTCGCCGTGAAAGCCTGAGAGAATGTTTTCTCGCCAAGTGACTCTCCTTAGGCACACTGTACATCATCGATCACTTTCCTCTTTGGCCCCATAATCTCCTTGACCAGAAAATTTGGAACACTACCAACTTACATGACATTACAGTGCAAGTTCTCGTATGTCCTGAGTCTTAATTGACCTTGGAAGGCTAGGGCCAAAATGTTGGCTTTC